GTGTGCAACACATTTGAGGGGCCTGCACAAGTCTAGAAACCAAGTTGACATTTTTTGCTTAAGTGTGAAGAAACTTGGCATAACACACAACAACTCTCATTTCTGCCAACACAAGCTAAGACAAACTTGTTGTACACCTTCCAAACATCAAACCTAAGCTAAGGCACGAGCAAAACACCTTCCAAACCTCATCAAACCTCAAAACACCATCCTACTGCAGAAAACAGAGTCACCTCTACAGTTGGACTTCCACAACTCAATCCACTCGTGCATTCTTGCTAAAACCAGTTCATACACATTCCATACCACATATACAAGTTATCCCAAGCATTGGACACGACCTGTAACACATCTAACCAACTTCACCATTTTCACTTTTTCTGTTTTGCAGGTTGATTGCCATAGCTTGATTTACTTGGTTTCAAAGCAAGCTAAAGGTTGGAATAGCATCCCTGGACTTCAAGCAAGCTGTATCAATCCTCACATTGCCTTGAAAGTGCCTCCATTTCTAGACACGATCTAAGCTGAACAGGTAAGTTCATGGACTTCTATCTCTCAATCTAGGAAGAGTTAGCTTTAAGTTTATGAATGAAAAATGTTCTATTCATGTCCCTGAAGCTATACATATCCTCACTTTCCATTTATATTGCATATGCTGAGAGAATTTAAGACCTGAACATTGAAAAAAACTTAGGTTAAGAATTAGGGATGGAGAAATTCTCTCTCATTTCTGAGAGTTAAGTTAAGTTTTTTATATGTATGGAATCGTGGCTTGATGCTTGACATTTTTCATGTTGTGAGTTTGTGCTAAAAGTCCAGGAATCATGAGATAGCAGGAAGCACGTGTTGCTCTGTTTTTTTTTGTTCAGAGGTTGAAGACAAAGTCTTCTTGGGATGGGCCTGACTCTTTTTCCTTTTTGCACCATGTTTTTACATTTGCACCCCCCTGGCCCATTTTGAGTTTTGTTGGTCATTTTCAATTTTTTTTTTATTCTGATTTGTTATTTTTTATTAAAGCATAAAAATATTAAAAACATTTTTCCCACATTTTTTGCATTTTATTTGATATTTATTTGCTTTATTTAGTTATATATGTAAATAAATACATAATACTTTTTTTGTTTAGAATATTAAAAATAATACAAAATACATTTATTTTCTAATTTTATTTTATCTTATCTTCTGAAAACATTTTATAAAAAATATATATATTTTTTTTGTAAATATTAAATATTTTATTTTTCTATATATTTAATATATTTAATATATTTAATAAATAATATAGATACTTATATATTTATTAGTCTATTTAGGTTAAAAACATAAAAAATAATACATTTTATTTTTATTAATATTCAACTTAAAAAATCACTTTTTGACAATATACTTTCTTTTTATTTATTTTTTGCACATAATTAATAAATATTGCATATAATAAGTAATTAATACATTTTATTTAACAAAATTAGGGTTTTGCCCTAAATACCTAAAAATACCAAAATTAATTCATTTTATTTTTGTTTATTTGACACATAAAAAAAAACCTTTTTCAAACATATAAAAAAAATCATTTTTTTGCATCTTGCATATTTATTGTATTTTTATTTAATTGTTGTATATTAAATAATTTGTATAATTCAATTTGGATGTTATAGTTTAGGTTTTAATTTCTTGCTAAAATATCCCCATTTGAACATTTGTACCCCCTTCCCATATATTGTGTTGTAATAATTTAGGACCCTTAAATTCCGCACTTTAAAAGCTTTCTAAAAATGCCATGTTAGAATTAGGGTTTTGTATGAAAATCAAAAACAACAAATAGTTTGACCTAAATTCAAGATAAACAAGCATGAAAATGGACAACACTAATCACACTTGCACCCCTAGGGTATTCCACTTGTTTCCTTCAATAATGGACCATATTGCATGTTAGGTATCTTTGGCAAAAAACAAAACAATCAAATGATCATAGTCCCTCGATGACACTTTCAAAAGTTGCCTAAAAATGATCAAGTCCCTTAAAGGAAATTGCCCAAAGATACTTGGCACCATTGCAATCATGGTCTAAACGATGACCCGCGCCCGTCCCATTCACATCCTAACACAAGATTGTCCACCAAATACAATGGTGGAACAAAATTGTTAAAAGGGTTAAAACATAGCAAAGATCTTTGAGAAATTTAGGGTAGATAGCTCTTGGTTACTTGCCAACTCGCAAAACAAAAACACTTGCCTATTTTTCAAAACCACACATCACAACACACCTTCAAAACAACTTTCAAAAACATTGAAAACTTTTTCAAAAGACATACACCTTTGTATACATCCCAACATGGATCATTACAAAGATTGCCACCACATTGGCCTCTTTTCAAAACATTTTTCAAACCCACACACAAAGCACCATTTCAAACAATTGAAAATCAAGGCAAGTTGATCTAAGCAAGTAACTAAGAGCCACTACAAGAAAATTAGTGTTTAACGACACAAAAATTGCGACAGTTATGTGATAACTGTCGTAATTGACATATAGAGACAATGTTTACGACAGTTGACACCAACCGTCCCTAATATTTATTTTGCGACGGTATATTTAACCATCATAATATTATTATTACGACGGTAAAACAACCGTCGGCCCTCATTTAACACTTTTAACATTGATTTTTCACCAACAACTAGTCACGACGGTAAAATTAACCGTCCTAAAAGGCATATCACGACGGTAAAGCACCCGTCGCACCCTTAAACCTTTCACGACGGTAAAATTATCCGTCCTAAAATTCATTTCACGACGGTAAAACAACCGTCGCACCCAAAACCTTTAAAAATTCTCATGGGCACGACGGTAAAACACCCGTCGCCGTAAAAAAGTTAAAAAAAGCTGAGTTGTACCGCAATTTGATTTTCCGGGCATACGAGAAAAGAGAACTATGCCAATCCCCAATCACCAACTGAAAGAGAAACAAAACTTCCCTATTCTCTAAAGCTTGCCACCCCGTGGAAGGTCATCTAATGTTGTGGCGGCCTTGAGCTCTTCTTCTTTCCGGTGGCCGGGTCAGCACCCCTATAAGCCCCTGTACCCGAAACAGATGCGGTTTAGCAGGGGCTTGCCAGGTATTTCCTGGGGTTTTCCATCCGGGCTTTAATGCGGCTAGAGACGGATCCAACGAATAGCTAAGGTTCGTTGACGATCCCTGGCTACAGCTTTGGAGGTTGTTGAACACTGTCACTAAAACATGGAGAATCCTGAAAATCATCTCAATAATGACGATATCACTGAAAAGTAAGCTTTATTTTCATCACAATACATAATTAGGTCAACCAATTAGAACTCTGTAAGATTAGGTTACGTCATTCAACATTCAATTTATTTATTTATCAATCTGTTTTCAGAGAAGCATCTCAGCTTGATGCGTTGTTGAAAGAAATGAAGGAAGGTCTTGATAATGTTAACCGCAAAATTCAAACTTTAACTGCCAAGGTCGGAATGCGCTTTTTTTTTGGACTTTTGGTTCTGTTATTGGTGAGTTTCATTATTTGTGTGTCTCTTATATCAGGTGAAAGCTCAGAGTTCTACGGCAGATGGATTCAGTTATCTCGAAGCTAAAAATTTGCTGCTTTTGAATTATTGTCAATCCCTTGTTTATTATCTATTGCGAAAGGCTAAGGGATATTCTATAGAAGAACATCCTGTTGTTCGAAGTATAGTTGAGATAAGATTATTTTTAGAAAATGTCTGTTTTATTCTTGTGTATCATCTTTGTATATTTGTGTTAGACTTGGTGTATCTGACATACAGTTTTTTGCTGCAGATTCGTCCAATTGATAAGAAACAGCAATACCAGATCCAGAAAGTTATTAAAGCGAGTGAAAGTGCAACAAGTAATGCCAATGAGAAGGTGCCGGCTGCATTTGATAAGAGTAAGGACGTTTCAAAGTATCGTCCAATTCCTGGAAATCTTATTAGTAAAATAGAACCAACCGCACAAGTGAGTTTATTTAATAATATCGTTGAAAATTTGAGGTGCGATAGTATGATGCAAAATATATTTGTCTTCTGTTTCTCTAACTTAATTCATTTATGTTATAGGATGATGATGGTGACGATGTGTATCGTCCTCCTAGAATTGCTCCTACTTCTATGGATATGGATAAATCTTCGAAGCAAGAAAGAAATGTCATCCGAAGAGATAGAGAAATTCTGAAACAGGCTAAGCAAAGTGATTTTATCAGAACAATGGTGAATGATATGGAGGGGAGACCTGAAGAGGTGATATAATTATTGTATTTTGGCGAAATTATTAGTGTATTTTGGGCGTGGAATCATAACAACTTAATGTGTTTATGTAATGGTTCGTGTTTGCTGCTTACTACACAGATACGAGATTTTATGGGAACTAGTAGAGAAGTGGATAAGTATGTTAGCAAAGCGGATGAGCGGTCTAGGCAAGAGGAGGAACTATTCACCCGTGTTCCTATGAAGAAATAGGAGAGGAAGAAAGAGAAGCACATGAAGAAAGCAACCAATGGGTACGGGGAATTCCTGATATTTTGCCTTTATAAAAAGCATCAAATGCACGATGACACTTTTACTTATTTTTTACTCACACTTACATCTGTGTTTATTTTTTCCAGGATGCAAGGCCTAACAGAAAGTTTATTTGATGAAATCAAAGGTTTACCCTTTGAAGATGATACTGGTGAGCAAACAATGGGCTTCAAAATGGGTAGTAGAAGAAATGGGAAGCACAGGAAGCTGAAGAAGCGAAAGGCATGTCTCTTTGATTTTGATCCTTTTAAATTGTTGCATGAAAACATTAATAATAATACACTTTTTAAACATTGAATCGGTACATTTATTTCCGTTTAACTTTGGTGGATGTGGTTTGTGCTCTGTTGCATCTGAATTGCGGATAACAGACTTAATCATTTGATAATCACCTTCTAGAAACTTATTTTCATCATCATCATTTTCGAACGAATTTGTTGCGATTAAGATGACATTAACACCGAGTCCAACTCCGACTCACAAGAAGGTGAATTTTCTTGTGACTTCACGTTCTGTTGATGCTGCTCCAATTGTGGATAGTGATAGTAACAATCTAGGGAATTTGACCACAAGAGGAAAATCGTCGAGTGCTAGAAGTATTATGCCGAAATTGAACTTTCCGTATAATAGGACTTCATCATCTGATGTTGAAAAGGCGATAAGTTTGGCTCCGGAAAGTCCTTGTGAGAAGCCTTCTGTCTCTGGATCAGGATCAGTGTCTTTGAGTAAGCTGTTTGCTCCTAAGATTTATAGAACTTCTTCGCTACCGGTTGAAGAAATCAGGCGTGTTAATAATGAGTTTGCTTTTGGTGGATGTCTTGGTGCTTCTCCATATGTAAGGCTTTTAACTTATAATATCAATTTTGAAATAGTGGTTATTTTGTCTTTTGATTAACTTGTTAAGTCCTATTTTGATGAACAGTTTAATTAAACGTGTTTGTGTGAATGAGCATGCTTTCCACTTTCTAGTCCTAATTCTTATATTCTTTAGTGGTTGCCAAATCTTGCATGTATATCCTTTGTTTTAACCAATTTGATCCTTTTGCAGAGAAGCCAGGGATCGATAGCGCGCACTCGTTCAGAGCCGGTAGATAGCAAAGAAAAAATCATAAGGAAAATGGATAAGTTTTTCCGCATTATTCCTTCCACCCCAGGTGCAAAGGAAGTTAAAGAATGGTTAAAAGCTTCTGCAGAAAAGGATACAGGTATTAAGTCTAACAATACAAAAGCTGATTGATACATTTTCATTAACTCGACTTAAAATTTTTTCATGGTTCAGAAAATGGCGGTGATGACGGTGAAGATATAGCTGAAGAGGAAGCTGTGTGTAGGATTTGTCTGATTGAGCTATGTGAAGGAGGTGAGACGCTGAAGATGGAATGCAGTTGCAAAGGTGAACTTGCATTGGCTCACCAAGAATGCGCTATCAAGTGGTTCAGTATCAGGGGTAACAAGACATGTGATGTGTGCAAGCAAGAAGTTCAGAATCTCCCTGTCACTCTCTTACGCATCCAAAATGTTCAAACTCAGAATACCGGAGCAAGGTCTCAGCAGGAAGACGACTTCAGGCATGTGCAGTTATTTTCATTTGATAAAAACTATTACTCGTATGCTTCGTTTGAGATATATGCATATCTTGAGATCTTATGGGCAACTTCTTTAATGGCATATTATTTATGAAAATATCTAAAATATGAGGCCAACCAAACTAGTTTACTTTCATGCACTATAGCATTATTGCGTAGCGAAATTTGATCAAACCGCTATTCCCACGATCTATGATCTGCTTGTATTGAAGTTGTAGATTTCAGTTTACTCTTCAGAATATTATCATGTAGTCAATTTTGTTTTGGGATTTCTGCGGTCGATACAAGTGCATTGGTTTATAAATGGAATATAGCGTTCTCTTTGTATCTTTCTTGTACTAAAAGTAATTGCTACCGGTAACACTTCAATTTTTGGGTATTGCTTGTGAATTAAAATGTTTTGATAGACTCGGGTTTAGCTGCAAAAGGTAGGTATTTATTCCTTAGCACAAATATGCAAGAAATGCTTTTTACTCTTGCCAAAATTTGAAATAGGGAATCTTGAAACTTTTGATGTTCGAATGTTCTACAAAAGTGAAGTTCCCCAATGCTTTATTTTTTTCTAATGCTAAGTTTCTCAAAAGTGAAGTTCCTCAATTGACTTATTTGTATACTATGATAGTTACAGGAATTGATAGATAATGCAGCAGCAAGTGCTCGATCATGGATAGGAAGAGCTAAAGAAGCAGCAAGACATGGTAACCACTGTTCACCTAAATTTTTTTGCTCATTTTATTGAGTTATACTTAGTTTGTTTTATCCCATTTTACTGAACCTTTCTTCTTTTTTCACCTTTACAAATGAAAATACTGCTGCAGTACTAAACTAAAGGAATATATCATTTACAGATCAAAGAAGATTAGAGAAATTCGTGAATGTTGAAGGAATGATACCCTCATTAAGAGACCCGGAGCGCTTTAGTTTTTGGGTGATTATTCCATGTGATTTAAAGTTTTTACTTTGTTGGTAAAAACAACAGCATTTGCTGTATTTATTGCTATGTACTAATTGTATCATGATTACAGTTGGCTACCCTCTCCAATCGGAGGCCTTCAGAAAGATTGGAACTCCTACGCATTAGAGATACCAAAGAGGTAATGAGTCATTGTTAGAAAGTTGAATTTTAGTAGCATTAGAAAGTTATTTTTGTTAAATTCAGGCTAGTAAGAAAGAAAGTTGAACTGTGTGATGCTTGTATAGAATAACAAGTTCTTCCTTCATTTCTTTTGAAAAAGGAGGAAGCTGAGAAAACATGAGGGTTGGCCTAGCGGTAAAAGCTTAGGTCCTGAGAGCGTGCTCCTCTCAAGTTCTCTGGTTGTAATTTTGCTAGGTACAAACAATTCATGTACTAAGTGTCACTTTTTCTTTGGTTTGTTTGCAGCAAGGAGTGGATATCAATGCAATCGATAGAATTTTGCTTCAATCTTCAAAGCCATTTCTTCACACTAATGTTGATTGCAATGCATTATTTGCTGCTGTGGTCAGCAGGCAGATAAATGTTGTTAAACTCCTTTTGCAGGTTGGTGTAAGACTTGATATCAAGGTCAAATTAGGAGCTTGGTCTTGGGAAACAGATACAGGAGAAGAATTCCGTGTTGGTGTCGGACTAGCCGAGCCTTTTCCAATCACATGGTGTGCTGTAGAATATTTTGAATCCACTGGCACTATACTCAACATGCTTCTCCATCACCTCTCACCTAATAGTTTTCACATGGGAAGAACTCTCTTGCACCACACCATCATTTGCAACAATGAAAGAGCATTGAATGTACTTCTGAATAATGGGGTTGATACAGAATTGGCCCTTCAAACTACTGAAGAAGAAACCAATCTATACCCTATTCACATGGCTGCACGCCTCGGACTATGCAACATTCTTCAATGTTTGATTAATGGTAATTGTAACTTGGACTCGCAAACAAAACTTGGTGACACGGCGTTGATGGTTTGCACAAGGTATAAACATGAGAAGTGTCTAAGAGTTTTAGTATCATCAGGAGCTGATTTGGGGATAGTAAATTCGTTTGGTCATTGCGCAACTTCAACAGCAACTTCTATTCATTGGACTAAAGAATATCAGAAAGCAGTTTTGGATATAATTAGAGCCAAAAAAGGTTGTTAAGTCTAGCAATGCGTCTAGATTTTCATCTTTGTTATTCGTCACTCACGCGAATGACATAGAGGCTTTGAAAAAAGTCGTTGAAAACAGAAACATAAATCTAGATGAGCAAAATGAGAGTGGATTTTCAGCTGTCATGATATCTGCTTCAGAGGGTAGCGTGGAGGCATTCAAGTTGCTTCTTCACGCTGGAGCTGATGTAACCAATCTTAAAAACAAAGATGGTTTAACAGCTCTAGATATCATAGATTTGAAACAAAATGGTGAAGATGGTCATAAGGTGATGTTTGAATATGCACTTAAAAAGGGATGTTTGAATATTAGTACTTTAGCTGAAGCGAATACTCTTCACCGTGCAGCTTGTTATGGAGATATAAACATGGTTGAAAAACTACTAAAGGAAGGGAATTACGATGTGAATGGTTTTGATGAAAATGGATATACACCATTGATGTTAGCTGCCAGAGAAAGTAATGGAGAAATGTGTGGCCTTTTGATATCTCATGGAGCAAAATGTGATATTAAGAATGAAAGACATGAAACAACACTTTTACTTGCAAGAGAAAAAAATTTGAAAGGAAATGATGCAGAGAATGTGATCATGGATGAGTTAGCTAGAAGAGTAGTATTGTGCGGTGCGCGTGTGAAGAAACATACAAAATGTGGTAAAGGACTTTCATGAATTTTGTAGAATATTGTAACATTTTTTGTAATTCTCTCAAGTTGTAGCAAACCAATGTAAATATTAAAATGAAATTTGGCCTTTGATGATATTTGAATTTTTCTTGTTTATTGGTAAAATTTGCACTTCTTTTTACCTTTGATCACATTTTTTTGATATTATTGATGATTATTTGATATTAAATGTTTTTATTGTAATTAACTTTATTATGTTGAAAAGTGATAGAAAATAAAATAAAAATACTATAAAAAAAAATATTAAAGTAAATAATAATTTAAATATAATAGTAAAATATTATAGTAAAATAATATTATATTTAAAATTATTTTACTAAATAATAATTTAAATAAAAATATTATTTGAAATTTATAAATCAGATTACGACGGTTAAAACCGCCGCAATTTCTAACCTACGGCGGTAGAATAACCGTCGCAAACAACAACAAAAACAAAAAATAAAGTCAAATTCACGACGGTATATAACCGTCGCTATCTGTTGTGCGTGACAGTTTTTGCAACCGTCGCGAAATCGGCTGGGGACGCACGATTCTGCGACGGTACTTCTATCGTCGTAGATTGTAAATGGCAACGGTTTTAACCGTCGTAATCAGCCAAAATAACCGTCCCAATCTATCATTTTTCTTGTAGTGAGCCCATGGATAACCATGGATAGAAAGGGTGCTAATGCCTTCCCTTTCTATAATCTACTCCCTGAACCCAAGAAAACATCTCAAAGGTTTTTGCTGTGCTTTTTAACCTTTCCTTAGCATAAAATAAAAAGTCGGTGGCGACTCTTGCTCAACCGAAACATTTGCGAAAACAAACGCAAAACCTCAAGTCAGTTCTCCCACCGTATCACAGAACTGGCGACTCTGTTGGGGAAAGTATAAAAGTGGAGTAACCTTAGGGCTTAGATCACCCTCTTGCATGACTAATTGTTTGTTTTGATTGCTTTATATCTTGGCTCTCTTGTTTGGGTTTGCAATCCTACACCCGGATTTGGGGAAACATTCATAGATAGCAATACGTTGTGGAAACTGTGCGGGGTATACCGACACAGTTGAAACAATAGCTATATTAGTGCGACATATTTGTGAGTACCGGTAACCCTTGAGTTCAATCAAGGAGAGTACGGGGCCGCTGAGTGATGTCACTAAGCACTAATGACCTAGAACCTTACTTGACCATCTTGGCCTTTTATTAGGGGTAGTGAGATGACCGGCTTTGGTGCAGTCCGAAGTTGGTAGATACTCGATACTACACTCATTGAGGGTTGTTTTCTTGGAATATTTTGGTCGCTAGTTAAGTGGCTAAACCAAAACAATGAACAATGAAAACAATCCAGTGATATTGAGCTCCTTAGAACCCGATTACTATTTATAGGAAAGGTTTTTAAGCCAACTACACTCAAGAGGGTACTTACCTATGAAACCCCATGCAAGCCTGAAACTAGGGTTTTGTGTGAATTGCTTGTACATATGTTTGTGCATACATCATGAACATCATAAAGCATCATATGCATTCACTAACCATTTCAAGGGTTTAGATCTTCATCTTTGTTCTTGTTTTGTAGGTCATGGAAATTCTTCACAGGAAAACCATCCAAGTCAACGTTGTAAGAATCCCTCCTCAACTCAAGGAGCTCACATCAAGGATTCCGGAAAGCTCACCCTTCAGTGAAAGACATGGTAGACTGCTCAGCCTAGTCAACACCAACATTGAAGAAGACATGATGAAGGTGCTGTTCCAGCTCTTTGACCCTCTTCACCACTGTTTCACTTTCCCTGACTACCAATTGGTGCCCACTTTGGAGGAATTTTCTCAACTCCTGAGAATTCCTATCCTTAATCAACTACCCTACAACGGTACGGAAAAGGAACCAAATTCTGAAGATGTTGCTCAAGCACTACATCTACAGCCATCTGACATCAAGGGGCACTGGGAAACTAGAAGCAGTGTCAAAGGCTTCTTAGAAAAATTCTTGTTTGAGAAAGCACAAGAGTGTTGGAATTCATTGGATCTACAAGCCTTTGAAGAAATTGTGGCCCTCCTCATCTATGGTTTGGTCTTGTTCCCAAATCCTGACCAGCTTGTAGATATCAACGCCGTCAAAATCTTCTTATCCAGAAATCCAATACCAACATTGCTTGGGGACATTCTTCACTCATTTTACACTCGAACAATGAGAAAGAGGGGTGTTCTCATGTGTTGTACTCCTCTCCTTGCAAGGTGGTTTATTTTGCACCTTCCACAATCTGTCTTGAAGAATGACCAAGGCCTAAGGTGGTCACAACGGTTGATGACCCTTACTCACTCTGATGTACATTGGTGTTCTCGGTCCAGAGAAAATGTCATCATCGTCAATCATTGTGGAGAGTTCCCTAATGTTCCATTACTTGGCATTAGGGGAGGCATTACCTACAACCCTTGTCTAGCCTTGAGACAATTTGGATATGCACGGAGGGATGGCCCTCACGACATGTTGATTCCTGACCTAGTTTTTGACTTCGACAACGATGCGCAAGGACTTCGCCAAAGATTCATCAGAGCTTGGAGGATGCCTAACAAGGTTGACAGTAAGACACTGGGACATAAGAATTCCATCCCTCTTGAGCCTTATCTCAAGTGGGTACGAACCCAATCCCAGAGTCTAATGATGCCTTATCCTCATGTTCTCCCTGTGATTAAAGAGCCCGTTAAGGAAGGAGAGGTTCCCTACACCATCCTATATCCTGACATGCCTACATCGTGGGAGGAGATGCAGAAGAGTTGGATCCAACTCAAGGAGGAACAAAACACTTTTGAAGCCAGCTTCTACGCCAGCGAGAAGAAGGTTTTGGAGCTTACCCGCCGACTCCATGAGGAAGAGACCCTCAACACCTACATCGCACCAAAGAGGATGCGCAACGTCTTTTTACCTTGAGAAGTTTTTTGTAATATTTGGCCCATGGGGCATTTATGTACTGACAAATTTCTTCTTATTAATTTGACGTGCGTTCTTTTTGTTTGCAACAATTTTGAACTTTCTAAATCCATGAATGCATTGCATACATAAGCATACCATTCATCATGTGCACAAGCAGGTCTCCACACCAGGTTTCCTTATCTTTCTGCTGTTTATTTCAGTAAGATGGATCTCGAACAGACGGTCAAGGACTTGTAGTCTCAGAATGCACAGTTTCAACAACTCCTGATGACCTTGGATAAGGGTCAGGAGGATCTGAAAACCCTGTTGGGGAACAAAGACCAAGTGAAAAAGAAGAAGAAAAGAATCGGGGTGGCTACCCTAGGAAGAAGGTTTGAGGGTGAAGCCAGAAGAGTGCTTGAATTTCCCCCTACATCTGAAGAGGGAACCAGTAAAGGGAATGCGGATGCAGTACCTTCCAAATCCGAGGTTGATGAAGAGGAGGCTGAAGAGGACGAAGACTACTCTGATCAACAATACCCGCCCGCCGATGATAAGTACAAGGGTTTGGAAGACAGGTTGGCAGCTATGGAGCTGCAGAGAGTTCCCGGCTTAGATTTCGAAGACTTGGGATTAGTTGCTGGAATCGTGATCCCCCCGAAGTTCAAAGTGCCAGTTTTTGAAAGGTATGACGGGCTGTCCTGCCCGAAAATGCATCTCAGATCATATGTAAGGAAGATCCAACCTTACACTGCAGACAAGAACCTTTGGATCCATTTCTTTCAGGATAGCCTTTCTGGGGCTCAACTCGAATGGTTCTATCAGCTGGATGGAGCCAGTATCCTAAACTGGGAAGACTTGGCCACCGCAATTTATAAACAATATCAGTACAGTTCTGACCTCGCTCCTACGCGTACCCAACTTCAGGGTATGTCACTAGGGACGGGCGAAGGATTCAAGGAGTATGCGCAAAAGTGGAGAGACTTGGCTGGCAGGGTGCAGCCACCTTTGACTGACTGCGAACTTGTTGACATGTTCTTAGGGACCTTGTCCGGTCGGTTCTTTAACCATCTGATTGGTAATTCTTCTGTTGGGTTTACAGATTTGATCTTGACTGGTGAGAGGATAGAAGCTGGTATCAAGTCGGGGAAGATACAGAAAGGTGACGCTGTGAGTACTGAAAAGAAGCCCTTTAAAAAAGAAGCTAGTGCTGTTTATGGTCCTAGAAGACAAGTTAAACCGGAACGCCGCCAAACTGTCAATGCATTGGTAATTTCAAAGCCCGCTACTGCTCCTCAGCAGTATAATCAACAAAGGGGTGAGAGACCCAAAAGGCAGTACACCCGACTTAGTATGTCCCTGTCTCAGATATTGCTGCAACTGCTGTCAACCAATCTGGTAACTGTCAAGGAAGCTCCGAAGGTGGTGAACACAACTTCTCCAAAGTATAACCCCAACGCCCGTTGCGCTTATCACTCTGATAGCCCCGGGCATACTACGGACGATTGCTGGGCTCTGAGGAATAAGGTTCAAGACCTTATTGATGCTAATGAAATACAGTTTGAGGCGCCTGAAAGGCCCAATGTTGTGACTGCTCCCATGCCCCAGCATGGAGTGAGTGTTGTGGAAGAAGACCGATATGTAGCCTCAGTGGAAGAGATTGTTACTCCGTTATCGACTGTTAAAAGGAATCTGTTGCTAGCCGGTTTATTTCCGGGATGTGGTGAAGATTGCCTTCTATGTGCTGTTTCTCCTTTTGGTTGTCCTTTGCTGAAATCAGGTATCCAAAGCCTGATGGATAGCAAAGAAATCTTGTTTGAGAAGATTGATGTTCCCGCTGTCCCCGCCGAAGAAGTTTCTATCATCACTATTTTCAACAAACCTCCTAAGGCTCCTTCAAAGAAGCTTGTCAAAATCATGTCCACTCAGAAAATTGCTCCCATCATCATTAATGTTCCGGGGCCCCTCCCTTATACATCCGACAAAGCTGTCCCATGGAACTATGGGGAAGATATTTATGTGTTTGGAGTGAAACAAGAGTTTGATACAAGTACCGGTGTCAGCAACATCATTGGGCCTGCCAAAATTACTCGCA